GGCGCCCGGGCGGCCGGCGGCGGAGCGGAGCGGAACGGACCTACCTTTTTGTCCTCTTTCTCGCTGCCGTGCCTCCGCTCCGGGTGGCCGCTGTCGGCGGCGGGGGCCGGCTCGGCGGGCTGCCCATCGCGGTGGTGCGGGCGCTGGTGCGGGCAGCCGCCAGACCCCGCCGCCGGGGGGATGGGCTCCGGGCACGGAGAAACTCCCTTAACATCCATCTCCATCTTCCAGTTCACTGTATTGCGAGACAAAAGCAGGCAAACACTTTCCACCACCCCGCGTCTTTCGTGTGCTCTCCTCTCTCCCTCTTTTCTTTTTTTTTCCTTTTTTCTTTCTTTTTTTTTTCCCCCCTTTCCTTCCTTTCTTCCTTTTTTCCCCCCTCAGGAGGCCGTGACACGCATGGCTCTGGCCGCTGCTGCTGCACCGATCCGGCGGCTGCAATTCTCCCCTAGATCCTCCAGACTTTTGTATCCAGCGTGTGTGTGTGTAAGAGTGAGAGTGTGTGTGTGTGTGCGTGTGCGCGCCCGTGTCCTTGGTACGATGGCCTTCAATCGCCCCGAAACAGCAAACGCTAACTAAGCAGATCTCTCGCCACGAAGATCAACTCCCGGCCCCGGTCTAATTGTGGTGGTTATTTACTTTATGCTATCTATGTCCCAGGCCCGGACAAGCCCTCCCGGCTGCAGCCCTTTGAACAAAGTTAACTGGAGGGAGCCGAGCCCGGGGAGGGGGTGGGGGCAAGGGGAAACCACCGGGGTTTAACACGGGGGAACTGACAATAACCCGGTAATGTCAAGTAAAAGTTAAACCTCCCCCTTCCTCCCCTCCCCCTTCCCTCTCCACATCCCAGGCAAGCGCAATACAGCAAAGCAAAACGAGCGATTTCAGACCTGTGCAAGGTGCTGGTGACGAGAAGAGACGAGCATTTACCCGATTGTTGCTTTTATTTTATTTTCCCCTCGCCTCCCCCCCAGCACCACCCGCTATTGCAAATGTGGGCTCCTTGATGTTAATCTCCTCTCCGTGGTCTGAGTGTATGTGTGTGACTGGAGCTCCCTCTCTCTCAGGCTGCCAGCGCCACGCAGCATTGCACAAGGAGAACTGGAGTAAGGAGAAAAACAAGAGCAAATCCAGGCTGGAAATCTAAATCAGTATCAGCCACCAGCTCTCCAATTTTATCAACACCAATACAACAAGAGAAAGGAAAAAAAAAATCGTGTGTAAGCTGCTAAATCAGTCGTGACTGCAGTGCGCACACAATTATTTTATTCCTCCTGTTTGCATTTCTCCCAACCCTCTCTAACTTCAGTCTGAGAAGGAAGCTATCTCATTAAGAGTGTTTTATACCAAAACAAGAATTTCCTTAGTGGTGCCGGAGCCAAGCCAACCATTCAGCTATTCCCCTTTTCATTTTGAAGACATGAATGGTGAGCGTAGACCCAACCGTTCTTAAATCGGGACACCATCAGGTGACCAGTCTGCACTTCTAAATATAACACCACATTGTCCTGAGGAGCAGCTGCTTTGAAAGTTAACTGGGAACATCTACCGAGAGCCTGCAGTGTCAGGATACGTATCTGATCTATACCTGATCTGTCTGATGCGTGTACCAACCTCTCCAATAGCAACTCCCTGCTCCGCAGAGATACTGGGCCACATCCTCAGGAGCTGGTCTATTTTACAGCAGGACAGAACCTGTCCCAGGGTATTTCAGGAAGCGGGTGACTATTAGGTATTACGTGATGCCCTTTTATTCCTTGCCTTGGGTTCCCTTATTCCCCAATAGGATTGTTACTGTGGGAACCTGAACAGATCTTATTGCAACAATGTATCTGGACAAAGGGCAAGGGCTAATCTCGTGACAGGAAAAAAAAAAAAAAAAAAAAAGTCTGTGTCACACACCAAAGCTCTAATTTTTAAATACACATCTCTAAAGATCCTTCAGTATTATTCTCAAAGCCTGACAAGTATTTGAGGGTCCTGCTGTCTTCTCAGATTGGTGCAAATAAGGAGCATTCCTATTGAAACTATCAGCATCAATGTTGGAGTTATATAATACAACAACCAAACCAAACTATTAAATTTTATAATAAAATACTTTAAACTCCTTACAATCAAAGATGATCTCTGAAGGTCCCTTCCAACCCCTATAATTCTACGATTCTGCAATTTATTTATAATCATTTGAATAAAGTAAATAATTATCTACCTTTTGGGGTGGAAGGATTTAAACGTTCTGGATACCCATCTAGTTTTAGCCTCATTAGCAAAAACCAGTACTAATTGCAAACAGGCACTTGTGGGGTGTCAGTTGGCATAGCCACTCTGGCTGCAGAACATGTACCAAGGCAGACTTCACTGCACAATTGCTCAGAGCAAAGCAATGGGCCCACGTTAAATGACAGTACCCTGTCAGTCCACCCGCGTAGTCACCACCTCCCTCCACACACAGCAAAGCACATAAGGAACAAAATTCGTTGCTCAAGAGCTTTTCCAATTTGAGTCAAAGTGCTTCCAGGATCACCAGTTGGAAAATGGCAAGATAAAAGTGAAAACAAAAATATTGTTCGTTCAGGTGCTGCAACAAACACTTACAAAATTACTGATGACACAGAAACCTTCTGTTGGTGGGTAATACTAAAGAACACTGTTAGAAAATAACAATTGCAAATCTACCTTCTCCAGATTTTTGTGTAAAATTCAAAGCAAACCAAACCCATCTAAAAATAGAGAAAAGCTAACCCAAATACAAATATTTCACCATGTGCTCTGAAGCTTACTGGAGCTGGACATTGGCAGAGAACCAAGGAAAACTAATTCCAGAGGCGGGGGCCCTCAACTCAGAAAGCTCTGCTCCTAATCCTAGAGAGTTTAACCCCCAAAACCAAAAGAAACTTCTTAGATGCTTTGAGTGAACAGAATCATGCATAAGAAGAGAAGGACAGACCCTAGACTATACGAAAGTCAGTACAAAGATTTGTACTTGGCTGCTGAATTTCAAATTTTCCCTTCTTTTCTTTCCCCCATCTTCCCTTTTTGTGCTGCAAAAGGTTTAGCATACTATTGCAAAAATAAAATTATTAGAAATAATTAATCACAACAGTGTGCTCCCAGTTGTTCTCTGCACAAACCAGGTTTCTGCCTGGCTGCTATTATTCAATGGATTCCAAGAGAATCCTAAGTAGAACAAGTTTTGTCAGGCTAATCAATCTGAATAATCATCACAAATTTCTGTGAAAGAAATAACGGTCTTCAGGCCAAACATACAACATAATTACAAACAGTAATTACAAATCTAGGAGCACTAACAAATTGGACAGGAAAATGAAATCTGAACCAGCAGGCTGAGGAGATAAGAAATATGACCTCCTTCCAGTCTCCTAAGTGGTCCTCTGACAAGTATCGGGTTCCTTAGGTCCAGGCAGAAGCATGTGAGCTTTCACCCTGAATTATTTTTGGTAAGCACTGAGAGAAGGGTGGAACTACAGACCATAATAATGCAACAAGCCACAGAGCTGGACAATTAATTGATTGGTATTGCATAATGAAACATTTTTGCTACCTTCAACTAACCTGGTACATCACACCCAAACTGTAAATCCACAGACTAGAATTTGGAGCTGAGATGGAAGAATGGTGAGGCAGAGTCCTGTATCACATGGCAGCTGTCTGGGAAGACTATGCGCTGAGAAACAGAAACCAGGGTGTTGTAGTGGAAGGCAAGCGAATCCACACCAGGAAGACTGTGTTTTTAAGAAAACAACATTGCGTTGCATGCTTTCCAGATGTGCTGACAGATCAAAAAAAAAAAAATAGCAAGGATCCTTCGCTCATGTACAGAGTGGTAAAACAGCATATAATTTAGACTCTATATAAAATAATAAAGTACGTTACTGAGTATGGACTATTACCATACACAACGTGCATTGAGAATTTCTGAACCCAGATCTATTGTTCATTTTTCAAGAGAAACACTATTAAAATATTGCTGGTGAAATCAATACTACAACTCATTAACACATGCTCCCTGCTCCTGCATATTTTGCAGTTGTGGGTTGTGCTGTAAAACAGGTGTAGGTGACTAAACAGCTTCCAGAGACACTGACATTCTAAAATGCAAAAAGAAAACCTTTCAAGACCAACTGCATTCTTCATGTCTTAAAAAATTCAAATTTGGGAGTGACGACACTGTGAATTTAATTACAGGTCAAGTATCAGAACAATTTGATGGAAAGGGTCAAAAACTGCTCCTTCTAGAATCCAGTGTCATTTTTGCATTCTTATTCTTGGTTATGATCAGATGGTAGTACAACATACTGTGCAAGCCACATGGCAGGGGAATCCTCTGTAGTCCTAATTAATAAGGCTAAAAATGGTGGGAAGACATACACAAATTCAATTATTTGCCTAAGATCATGAAGTAGTTCAGTGGCAGATTAAACAGAACATTTATGCCATTTCCATGGTCTCTTCTTTCAGTCATTCGTTTCATTTAGCAATTTGTCACTTTTTCTTATGAGTAGTTTTAAAATAACTGCTCAGAAACTAAGTCATTTATTGATGTTTACTTATCTAACAATTCTTGTTCAAAGATATTTTCAGGTCTTTCTCAAGCACATTTATATTTATGCTAATGTGGATAAATTGAATATGTTGCATGTCAAATGTACAAAAATGGCTATTACAGGTTAGCAGGATATATGCAATCTTCATAAAAACACAGCTATTGTTGTATGAGAGACGCAGGATTTGGCTTTCTGCTGCCTCCCGAATCTGTTGGTTCAGGATTCACCTATGCACTGCATTCAACATTTGAATAATTTTGACCTTTCACCACCCTTAGACAATTCAAATCAAAGGTTTCCTGTTGTCAACGCAAGCTCCTTGGGGCCTCGCTGAACACTGGATCTGTCAACTTGCATTCTCGGCTATTTCATTTCTTGCTTGAGAGTTGCAAACAGAGTTGCTTTCTCATGAAGACTCTGACCTTATCGATAATTCCCTCTGTACTATACATTTCAAAGTGGCTGACACAGATGTTCATTGAGTCATTTTCCCACCCATCGATCTCTGCTGCTGTTCTCTAAGGTACTTTACCACTAGTATGTAAACATTCAGTAACCTGGGGGCTTCTCTAACTTTCAGGACTATCTATGCAGGTATTTTCTATCTCAGAAAGTCTAGAATTATATATGTTTAATAAATGCTATCCTAAAATAATTATGTTGCACAGGGATATAAAGACATGCTGGGGATATTCTTAGAGAGCAAAACCTGAAAATAATACTTGAATTCCACCATTTTCTACACAGTTCCACATGAAAATGGATACATTACCAGGCACATTTTCAAAAGCATCTTGTCTTCTAGATTTCCACCCACGATTTTTATAATATCAGTTCTCTCCTGCATTCCAACATTTTTGCTCACAAGTACTGAAACTACAAAGAACGGCTGCACAACTCAAGCCTTGAGTGATATTTTTTGAGCCTTTTAAAGACTTAACTCCATTTATTTTTTTGAACAAAAAAACCTGTAACCCTTGGAATGTCTCGAGTTCCTACAGCTCCTTTTCTAGAAAGCTATCAAAACAGAATTGATAGACTTCATGACTTTTAAACATG